AACCGCAGTCGACTACGTGGGAGTCCAGCGACACAGCCATTACGCTAACTGCTGGTTCCCTGGCTTAAAGTTTTAATCCCACCAACCTTTGAACATTACTCATTTCTGTATCAACTGTGAAGAATGACTAAAATACTCATAGGCTAAAAACTGAGTTTGAAGAATTAACTGGTAACTTACAGGTTCCTAAGAAAGATAGTAAATTGTATCTGGGGGTGAACTTTCTTACAAACTTGGTATTTAAGGCTACTTCATTATTAACAGCAGCAAGACTTCTAAGGACTCCTACTGGCCACAGTTGTGGTCATTTCAGCATTAAAAAAGAACATACTAGGCTGAAATACTTAAAAAAATTCATGGGACTAAAATTACACTACAAAAGAGATCTAAAAAAACCCCTAATTTCTTACTTTGATGGTTAATTGTAAAGAATAAAACACTCAACCTATATTCCCCGTAGGAACTATATTTAAGGGTGATTACATAGGTTGAATTGAACAGGGAAAGCTGTAGTTTTTGTAGAACAATCAACTAAGAGATGTAGAGAATTAGAAAAAAAAATTACACACCTTAATGAAATTCCTGATTTAGGCAAGTAGTATCACTTGATGTTAAAACTCAGTGTTAAAACACAGAGTGAAGGAAGGGTAAAGGGAAACTAGACATTCGTTTAAACCAAAGGAACACCTTACTGACAACTCAAATCACGAAGGGGAAAATCCAGCTGGAGGATCGGGCTGACATCCTGATCCAGTGATCTAAACACGATTCATGGCAGACCACCTAGATGCATGTTTTCTGATGTAGTAGGGAGCATGTATCTCACCTATGGTATATTTTAGTACAAAATGTTTAGCTTGAATTCTCGAAGCCTTCCAGTAGAACTTCCTGATTGGGGGTAGTAGAGAGAATAAGGAATAAGCAGAACAACACCCCGAGGAAGCAACTAGACACATTTACAACGAGATTCTGAGGGACAACTCCAGTCTTCTTAGCAAGTCTATGTCATGAAACTAAATGGTTGGTTTAAAATAGACGGGAGGGACTTAAAGGGACAGGATCAATTGTGATGTA